TAATTAGATATATTATAAATAATAACTGCTGTTTTCATTACACAATCAAGAGCACAGATAAAGAGTGATGCATTGTATGACAGTCAAATATTATAATAAAAAGTAAATAATAATAAAAATCAGCTGATTTGTAGACGCCATGCATGTGCCATACGTCATAGCGTCATTAGCTGTGCATATTGCATTTGTATAATAGGTATCACAGTTACATACAATTTTCGAACAAAGGTATTTTTATGATTATTACAATTATTTATCATCTCTTTACATAATTATTTATTTGCCATATTTTTATTAAGATTTATCCACAAAGGAAGCCATTGTTAGTTGTGAAAGCATCATGTTTTTAGTTTTACATTTTAAGTCCCCTTAAAGATGTAGCATTCTTTTACAACAATAAAAATCAACTTATTTCATTTCAGTATAATGTTTCTCTCCTTATTTCAAAGAAAGTCTGAAACAACTGTTGCAAGTAAACCATCTTATCCAGAAATTGATTGTGAGAAACTTAGAAATATTATTTATGGTAAGAAATTTAAGTGTTATTTTCAATTTTGAACATTGTTTTTAATACCTACCTAAATAGGTTTTATAAGAACAATTAAAGACCCAGAAAAACCAAATACTTTAGAAGAGTTGAAAGTTGTTTATGAAAACGGAGTGCAGGTGCATTTGTAAGTAATGTGAATCAATCCATTTTATTAGTGATTCCTTTTTAAGGTACGAAAATCAGTAGCTGAAAATTTAAACGTTGTTAGGATAGAATTCAATCCAACAGTTCCTCATTGCTCATTAGCAACATTAATCGGTCTCTGTATTCGAATAAAATTGGAGCAAACAGTTCCTTACAAGTTTAAATTGGATATTTTTATTAAAAAAGGAGGTCATGCTTCAGAAAATGAGAGTAAGATTGATATAATTCTTTACAACATTATCTGTAGGTTTGTTTTTTAATCTTTTGTAGTAAATAAACAAATAAATGATAAGGAAAGAATTGCTGCAGCAATGGAAAATCCCAATTTAAAAAAAGTGGTTGAACAGTGCATACAGGAGGACTAAAAATGGTATTGATAACATTCATTATAATAATGTACTTGTAAGACATGTTTCTTTTAAATATCTTTATTAAAGTTATTAAAAAGAAATTTTCTTAAATAATTTATGCCTCATTCATTGATATAGGTTGAGAAACTAATTTAAAGTTGGACGATTTTCAATTTATTTTTGATTACATCTCTAAAATAAGGTAGATAAACAGACAAGTAAAGCTGTTTTGTCATTATTGCTTTTATAATGACTTATTACATTCTCATGATTTCTAGCTAAATTTTGACGACTAGTCTGAGGCTAAATTATTTATTTATTAGAGAAATATATTTTTTTATTTCCAAAACTAATTTTTGCTAAGTTAATCACGGGTGTTGCCAAATGTACAAAATAATAAGCTTAATTTTAATCGTAAAATAAAGTATTTATTTTGCTGGGAAATAAAGTTGAATTCATTTTGACTCATTGAAATTATTATATTCATTAATTAACGTACTGGAGATTAAACGTTGTAGCTATATTATAAACGTATATTGTATTTTTGCATCATTACGTAACGCAAAAACTATCAATTTTGGCCCCCTTTCTTCAATTTGCGTTACGTAATTTATGAATAGTTCCTTAAAACGCGTCCGTCCACGTAGTGTATCCTAAGAATCCTTTTTTTTTTAGATGAATAATAAAAGAAATATACACTTCCATAATTTTTCTTCAATCTGGCAATGATGTTAGTGGCGATGTTTCAGGTAACAGGGGGATAGATGTCGCTGAGTAACAATTGGCAGCTTGCAGTGCCAGCAGCTTTTTGTACATCTTCGTTTACGTCAAAATTTTCAGGAATAACGAAGCAACAACGTGATTTTATTTTAATTTGCTTTCTTTGTGAGGTGAGAGTGACATTCAAAGTAGAAGTTGTGTGATTGCACAAGATTTGCCGCAACTCGGTGGAAGATGAACGAATCCTTTAGAAATCGGGTTTATTATGCTGCTCGAGATGGAATGGCAATGACATTTTATACTATTTTGAGTGATAAAAACAAAAATGATGTGAATCAGTTATTAAACCAGGTACGTGGAAAGATTTTTGAAAAAATTACGTCGCATTTAGCATTAATACAAGACATGTGTTCTTTGTTAGTAAAATGTTATTTTTATACATGCAACTATACAACGACACAATACACTTTCGGCAATGTAAATAATAATTTTTTTTGTAGTCCGTTGTCGAAGAAGATGGGCAAAGGTGTACCCCTTTGATTGTCGCTTCAAGGTACGGTCACGAAAAAGTTGTGAAAATGATCTTGTCCAGATTTAATCCTGATTTAGAGTGTGAGGGTACAGTGAAGTTTGACGGTTATGTTATTGAAGGTGCAAGTGCTTTGTGGTGTGCTGCTGGGGCAGGTATTATTTCTTTTACTCTTCTTGACAATTTAAATAGCCACTTATTTTACTTTTAGGGCATTTAAATGTTGTTAAGACATTGGTTAAGGCAGGTGCTGATGTTAATCATCCAACACGTACAAATTCTACTCCTTTGAGGGCTGCATGCTTTGATGGTCGCCTGGATATTGTTAAATATCTAACAGACCATTCAGCTGACATACACATTGCAAATAAATATAACAACACTTGTTTAATGATAGCAGCATACAAGGGTCATTTAGATATTGTAAGTACATTATTTTTATTTGTTTGTAACTTTTAATTAAAATTAATAATTGCAGGTTAGTTTTCTTTTGGAGAATGGAGCAAATCCTAATGAACAGGCTCATTGTGGGGCTACAGCTTTACATTTTGCTGCAGAATGTGGTCATGTATCTATTGTTAAGGAATTATTGAAGTACAATGCTAAATTTTCCAAGAATGAAGTTGGTATGACAGCTCTCAAAGCTGCTGCTGAAAGAACAAGAGCAGATGTGGTAGAATGTTTACTAGAACGTCCTGAGATAACAAAGGAAGAAAGAATAGAAGCATTGGAACTGTTAGGAGCCTCCTTTGCCAATGATAAAGACAGCTACTGTCTTGAACAAGCCTACAAGTTTCTATACAAATCTATGGAATTAAGGTGAGAAAAAATTTTTGATTGCTCTGGCTCTTTAATATTAATATTTTATTTATAAACTTATATAATTTAATAGATACAGTGACCCTGACAATATAATTAAGAAGAAGTTGGGTCCTCCAATTCCTGCTTATGAAAATTGGGTTGAGTGTCAAACATTAGCTGAGCTTGTGGCTATCAAAAATAATCAGAATGCTTTGCACATGGAATCCTTGACAATAAGAGAAAGGATTTTGGGCAGGCACAATTCAGAAGTGCCTCATTCGGTGATCTTTAGAGGAGCCGTATTTGCAGACAATGCACGTTTCGATAGATGTATACAATTGTGGATGCATGCGTTAGAATTGCGTCAATTAAATCGTATCTCAGTCGTGAAAGATTTATTGAGATTTGCCCAAGTGTTCTCTCAGATGCTCTATGTGGGAGTAGATTTGCCCATAAGCAATGTTATACACGTACTGAACGCAGCCATAACGGAGTTGCATAGGAACAGGGAGAGAATGAAAGCTCCAGGCCCAGAAACTGTTTTGGTGAGTAAACAATTTTATGAAGGAATCCTTAGTTATGTATAGTGTGGTTTAATGTTTGAATTACACTGTTCTTGTTGCATAAGCTGCCTCTTTAATTTGTTTCTCTTTTTTCTTTCCCATAGTTGTTTATAATTTTGGAATTATTTGATCCCTGTTTCTTGGTAAGTCATTGGCTCGTAACGTAGCACAAAAAGTAACGAAGTTTGTTTAGTTGTGGTTTGTAAATGTGTTTATGTGTTGCGACTTGTGTTGAACGCTTTTTTTAATTTAGGAAAAATTACATAAATGTGAATACAAATATTATATTTACATTTTTGGAATTTTTGCATCATTTGTGTTGCATTATTTTAATCAAAATAAATCACACAGGTATTAATTTAACTCATTACTCACAATTAATTAGGTCGAAAGTGTAAACTGGAGTGATCAAAAATTTTTATTTTTTATAGGAAGAACTAGAGGGGAATCTTACCACGACACTTTATTTGCTTACAATCTTAACGAAATTACTGAACAAATGTTCGGAACAAGAAAAGTTTAGTATCAACAAGATGGTGTTTACTTTAAATCAACTTCAGTTGGCCCTTAGGGATGGTCAGACTCTTTTGCACTTGGCTTGCAACCCCGAAACGCCAGTCGATGATTTTCACACAAACGATATATGCAAGTATGTCTAAACTACCAATTAATGAAAACACCAAGAAACAAATAGTTAACGAGGAATAACAAAAATTAATGATTTTAATTTTTTAGATTTCCATGTGCCAACACTTCAAAATTACTTATTCAATGTGGAGCTGACGTGAATGCTATGGATGCAGAAAGGAACACACCATTACATGTAATCGTCAATTATCATAAACCGTTATCAGATTTTAAAACGCTACATTCAATAATTACTTGTTTAACCGAAGCCGGTGCCCATACAGACTGTGTCAACAGCAGGGGAGAGACCCCTTTAGATTCTTCAGCAACAGGTAAGTTTTTAAATTTTTACTATTGTTTATAGCGCTTCATTTTTTTCGCAAAACGCAATACATTTATTTAATTTCTTAACAGTGTTACTCATACTACTACATACTGCTACATACAGGTTCGAATATTTATAACATTAAAAAATGTAAAGGACGTTTTTGTAAGTTTCCTTTACAGTCAACACGCTAAAATTGACGTTTTTCCTCTTAGCACATTAAAATAATTTTTATTCTTAGAATTTCAGTTATGATTCTATTAAATGCAATAGTCAATACAGCATCCCTTATGCTGAAAAAATATTTTTATTACTGACTCATTTTTCTGTACATATTATAAATAACAAATGTACCAATTACCGAAATAATTTGGTCAGATGCTTGACCTCGTTTCAAACAAATAAATCGTCAAAAATGAATCGAATATTACAGTTGTAAGTAACCTTTTTATAGACTTAAAATTTATTAAGTGCAATTGAATTGACTAGGAATAGTTGAAATATTTTCGTCATGTTTCAATTTTAAGGTTTATTGTTGCTATAGAAGCAAAATTAAAACGGACAATGAATAATTAATTAAAGTGATTTGGTGAGACGTTTTACTAATTTTTATTTAAACGGTACTCGGCTGATTTATATTTTGTAGTATCGCATCATGTTTTTAAGTTAGTTTACACATTTTACGTACATTTCATTTTTCATTGGCTAGCAATTAACGCTCTTTAAGATCCTTTACAATTACTAATAATAAATTAACAATGTCTCCTTTAAATAAAGGTGTCGCAGAAATAATACTGAAAGCGCAAGCGAAATTAAGTCTGAAATGTATGGCTGCGAAAGTTGTTAAAAACTACAACCTAACGTACCAGGGGCATGTCCCCAAATCCCTGGAAGCTTTTATCGAGCTCCACGGACCCGGAAGTATAAAGCAAGGCTAGTTGTAAAAAAGCGGTTTTATTTCATTACCAATTATTTTTATTTTATAAGTGCATATATTCATTCAGTTAGAGTTTATATAGACAATTGTGTTGTACTTTTTATGATTTAGTGAAATTAGCTGGTCAATATGTACGATATATTTTGTTAATTTATTCAAATCGTTATATTTTTTTTTAACATCTACAGTAAGTAGTCGCCGATAAAGAAGAGACAATTTATTTTCTGGTTTTGATATTTGTATAACGCATTTAAAAATAAAGGTAGTTGTTCGTTCGGGGTATTTTTGGCTAGTCATTGTAAAAGATCTGCGAAATTTCTAAATTTACTGCGACGGATTTATTATTATGACGGAATGTTCTTTAAATAGAGTGGAACGGGAAAGCTAGGAACTTTTCAGACATCAACCTTGAAATTGATCTTAAGCCAAGGGAACAGAAGGTTGCTGAACTATATGTTTTAAAAAATCTGTTTCCTAGGTTTACAACTGTTTATGTGTAGTATTTTGATTTTTATGCGGATGTTTTAAAAGCACAACAAAATGATCTTCCTGAATTTTTCAACACAAAAACGAGAAATTTTCATGTAATTTTTATAACAAAATCTATAAAATAATTAAAATTACTGAAGAATTTTTCAGAAATTTAGTTGATACCTTTTTCACTTTTTTTGTTTTAGTCAGCTAAATTTTTAATTTATATATGTACAGTACTTTTTGTTTGGCTTTGAAAAATAAGCAAACGATTTTTTCTTTGAGTTCAGTATTTTTAAAGCCATACGATTATGATATTTTCTGTTGCCATATTTAATGTGTACAAATTTTATTGAGTATTAGCAGGAAAATAGTAACTTTTATAAAATTTTCTTGAATCCAATACGAATGCTGTAGCTTTCTAAACGTTCGGTGAACTTAATTCATTGAACTCGGTGAAATATTTTAAAAATTAATCGACGACTACTTGTCTTACAATACTGACGCTGCACGTTTTGCTTTTTTATTACTTCTCGAATGAAATATAACTGTTATTAATTTAATTACACAATATTGAGACTGTTGAACATTTAATATATAAATTTTATAAAAAAAAATGTGTTCTAAGATTGCTTAAACTACATATTTTTTTATTTGAGCGTCTTTTAAGCTCAATTATAAGATGTTTTTCATTGTAGTTCTACATGCTGTATTATGTGGTGTTAGTTATTTACAGGAAATTAATTAAAAAGGAACAATTCCTGTTTTTTTTACTCATTTGGGCGATTTTTTAACACTTCAAGTGTTTATGAAGTATTCTTTAGGTTTGTTTCATCTAGTAATAACATGTCTATGAAACAATAATAAATAAGATGATACGGCATGTAGCATTTAACTGAGACATGAAATAAACAAAATTACAGTTAGCAGTGTAAAAAATTAGTAATACATTAGTAAATTGCTTTATCGTTATAAAAGTTGTTGTGCTCGTTGGGTTTGTAGACTAGTTTCGGTTTTTTAAGTAATTATTTGATTGTGAACGTAATTATTTTGTTGTAATAAATACATCGAATCCAAATACCAAAAGAAAGAGCACGAAAAAGTATTGCGTGATTTTAACGATGAAGTGATTTTGTAAACTATAAGTTTACTTGTGATATCTGTTGTTAATGTGCCTGTTTATAAATAATTGTTACATATATACATATATCTAAATTATTCTTGTAAATAACACATTTTTCGTTAAAGTGCTATAGTTTATTTCAGTTATTATTACCAATTTGGAAATAAATCTTGTTTTGCTGTTATGTATATCACATATAGAGGGCCGGATCAGAAATGTCTTCCTGTTATTTTCATTTTAACGTCGTATTAACATGTTTGTAGATATTTTTATATTTTTAATAAAGCCCAGTCAGAGGTTAAATAAAATACAAATGATTGTTATCGCTTTTTTTTTGATGAGACAATATTTTATTATAACAGATGCTAATCTAGGAGGCCAGTTAACTCAGAAAAAGAGCTAAAGCTCCTTATGCTTTTAAATTAACAACAAAACAAGTATAAAAAAAACTTTAGGTAGCACATTTTGACGTAAAGCACTTAAGACCTCTTTTTAATTTCTAACTTTTCGTATTCTCTCGGTTATTTATTTCTACGGATATTTGAAGAAATAATTCGCATTTTGCTTTTTATAAAATATCTTTTTATTGAATCAGGGGAACGAATTTATTACTTTTACATAAAGCTGCACAAGACATTGAAAGAGTATATTAAACATTTAAATTTGAACAAAAATATATATATAACAAGTACGAATAATAAAATGATAATAATTACTATAAATATGAACATCAAAAATAAATATAATTTCACAACTACACTTGACTAATAATTAATAATGACTTATACGCTACGATTTATAAAAATAAGTACAAAATTTGTGCTACAAGTGTTAAAGCAACGTGTAGAAAACTAGTTGCAAACATACAATGTTAGCGTAAATACGTATTTACTATGCGGTTTATTAAAATTATTATATTTCAAATTTGAGCTGCTAAAATTGTCTATATATTTATGTAAAAGCCGGAAAAATGAAGCCACCAAATTTTAGATATGCGGCTATCTCAGATCTGCTACTGTTTATTTTGTTAAGAGAAAATATACAGCTATTCATAAGCATTCAGTACGGACTGATTACAGTTTGCAGAAGTGAACGTGATATATTTATATCTCTTTCCATGTAATACCCGTACATCACTATCACAAACGTTTATATTTTCAAAAAATGACTATATAACTGGATTAAAAGAGCATTAAAATTTGAATTAATAGGGAGCATTATGACAAGTTTTCATTAATTTGAATTTTTTTAATGACAAACTTAGATATCGAAAGGTTAAGGCTTTCATAGAAGCTTTGGCTTTGATATTCAGGTTTGATGGCCGTGGTTCAGGATGGCCCCTCCATTTTTGGTTGGCATACTTAGGGCGAGGGCGTAGAATTCTGCTGAACCTTAGAACAACCGCAGCGAAGGATTCTACATCCTCGTCACATTCCCTGAGTATGCCAACTAGGAAAGCTAGCGAAACTGTGACCATTAAACTCGAATGTCGAATCCCCAGATACGTAGGCACTTCATCTGTAGCGGTCACTGCAAGCAATTTTTTTTCCATTTATTCGAATGCAAGTGATAAAAATTTGACATTTGGTTAATCTTTTTCTTACACACGTTTGTTGAAGACTTGTCATAAGATCCTTTCTATATTTACTATTTATTTTTCACTATGGTGCAGGCTTTTAATAAACGCGACTTTGATTATTGCAATAACTACTTTAAAAAACGTGTAGTAGTAGTAGTAATGGATATATTCTGTTATTTTTATAAATATGTATTTTAAATTGAAGTTAACTGTAGACACAAAAAGTAGATTGCAAACTTGCAGGTTTCGTCATCGTTTAATATCTTTTGGTGTAAATTGTCCCACAGTTTGGTTGAATTAAAGGTAGACAGATTATTTTGCATAACTAACATGCATTTTGCGTGCAACTGTAAGTTGTAGTCAGTTTTTATAATGTCCCGACTAAAATTTTCAATAAGTTAAGTTTGTTTGGATCATATATTCCTTGTTTATTGGGGGAGTTTTTAATAAATCATACTTGGAATATACTGTAGATTTACAATAATTATAAAAAACCGTGACAACAAAAAACCTACTATATACATTGAAACAATACATTTATCTAATTTATTCGTTGTAATTTTTTTTCATTGTGTACACTATCACAAAGTATATTGATCGTTTTAGTCGAGACATTAATTTCATTCATTTGAATCAAAATTCACTTCAAATTGGCGTACAGTATAGCTGCACATTCACTACATTAATACAATTTTTTTGCAAACAAATTAAAGTGTAAATAACTAAAGATTATTGCTGTCGATATCGTTCTTAATACAATTTTTTAATAATATTTGTACTAAATTTACATTACATAAAGTATCGCATTTTTTTATAAGAATCATTTCAAAAATAGTACACATTTTTTTCGCATTTATTTTACAGAAAAATATCTTTTATCGCAAAAATAATTTAAACACAATTTTACGCTATATAATCGTTCTAAAATAAAAATCAGTTTAGTAGGAACTAACGTTAATCGAATAAAATTAGTAATTTATTTAATTGTGATGAGAAACGAGTATATTATGCATACAGCATACTATTTTAAATTTAAATGTATATTTCGTCTTTGGCTGCATCTTTTNAACCAAGCAGACATCATTTTCTTACTAATAGTTTTAGTTTAATCACTTTTACTACTCAAGAGTTATAATACATTTCTGTGTAGCTTTCAGTGCAAACAGTGAAGTAGAAGCATTTGTTTTTAACTGCTAACAATTTAAGGGATTATGATGCCCATGCTTCCAATTCCTTCATATCATCATCTTCCTCGACTTTTTCTGTAAGCATAAAACAGTTAAATGTTAATTTATCTTAAGAAACTACTACTACTAATGCTAATATACTATAACATGGGTAAAATACTTTACTAAACTTACTTGGTTTCTGCTTAACAACTTCACCCTTGGGAACTGCCGGTAAGTCTTCAGCTGATGGTCCAACCTTCAGTAACTCATTTTCAAGATTCTCTTGTTCTAATTCCTCTAACTCCTTCTCTAATTCATCTTCATCCATATCTTGGCCAAAGGCAACAGGATTACTAATTGCATCTGATATTTCTCTTGCCACATCCTGTTGCTCTGCTATATCATCCATCATGTCATGAACTTGATCAACATCCCTGTAAAAAATTATCATAAAACTTGGATTTTTGTCAATTTTATAATGGTACAAACATGTGCTTATGGGCTTCCTTAAGAGCATCTGCAGCTTGTTTCATTGTGGTTAAGACTGCAGTGTTTGTGTTTGCTCCTTCCAGTGCTTCTCTTTGCATTTCAATTGTACTGAGAGTACCATCGATTTGAAGTAATTGTTTTTCATAACGCTTCTTTCGTTTAAGTGCCTGAATTGCAGCTGAAATTACAAAACTAGATTTTTGATGAATTGAAAACAAACATATAGGGTCTACTGATAATGAGCAGTATGACTCACATCATATAAAAAATCATAAGTATATATACTTATTACTGTTACCTCTTCTATTTTTCGAAGCATTTTTTCTAGCTACAGCAATTTCCTGTTCTATTTTCTTTTCTAAAAATTCCTGCTTTTTTATAAGCATTTCTTCAGTTTCACGAAGTTTCTGTATTGCTTCTCCTGTTGTAGGGCCTTTGTCGTCCTTTTTACCACCAAAAATTTTACCAAAAAAGCTCATTGTTTTGATTTAGTTTGTACTATACAGATTAAAAAAATAAGGACAATTTTTACAAAATTAACAATGACTAATACGCAACGCAACCACAAACTTCAACACCACAACAATCCAAGTACAACGAAAATGTCAGACCACAAATGTCATCAGAACCTGCAGTGGTTTTTTATTTACTCAACAGAGTTCGTAGTTCCTAACTAACAGAAAGACTTTGGGGGAAAAAAGGCGCTCCAGATTGCCAATCGTAAAGCGCTTATCTATGGTCATCTATGGTAAAGCGCAAAATGGATGGAAAATACGAAATGAGTGTGGTCGTTAGAAAAAATCAAAATGTAATTTATGATAATCAAAGAAATGTTGAGGTAGATGCATCTGTAAAACAGCTAATGCAGGATATCAAAATCCTCCAGGAAGATGTAAATAATTATTTAACAGAACTGGTTGAAAAGGACAAGAAAGAAAGTAGCACCCCAGAGAGTACTTACCTCCACTGTGTTTTAAGCGAATAATTTGTAATTATATTTTTTTTTCAGGTCCCTTTACTTCAACAGATGATGAGGACGATAATGACTCTGAAGATATTATAAATTTAAAAAGAAAAATTGTGTTACCCTCAAAAGAAAATAAAAAGAATAAACAATAATTATAGTAAGTATAATTAATGTATCAAAATCTTAAAATTTAATAAAATAAATATTTGTAATATCTGAATACTTTTATTTGTTTCATTTAGAATGTTACATCCTCTAAAGAACTTTGCCAACAGTATGACTTTCATATTGTTCAGGGACTGGTTGGAAATTAAACTACATGTGATGTAAGTATTAAAATTACATATCTAAATCAGTAACATATGTGTTTAAATTTACATCATACTAATTTTGTCAAAATATAAGTATTAAATGATTTAAGCATGTCTTGCAAGTCTTGGTATTTTCCATATTTACAAGCATCTTCCAATGTTAGCCATTTGTAGTCTTGATGTTCATCAGAAAGTCTAATTTCTGCTTTTGAATTTATTATCTCTGCAAGCCAGTATATTACCNAAGAACTTAAGTACTTATATTGTATGAAATATTTAAACAAAAAACTAGTTAAATAAATAAATAAATAAAAATTGTAGAAAATCACAAATAAGTACGTACTTGATTCTGCTGAAACTGTTTAGGTCGTGTAATGTTCAGTTATAAATTTACTAAAACTTACTAAAATGTAGAAACTAAATTATTGGTGCTTTACTGTGAACACATTAAAAACAAAAAAAAAGGAACACAATCAGTACAAATATCGTGACTTTGGTGAATTGGTTTAATAGTTGAAAAAACTTCTAAAAAATATTAAAACTTGTGTGTTTGTCTGATATAACAGATTGTAGATACTCAATAAGTAAAATTCTTTTAAATTGTAGTAGAAAGTCACGGTTGGGTTTTCTTTACCTTATTGGTGTTTGTAGTAGAAAATTTAGGAATCATAGGCACCGTTGTGACCGGTACATTCTTAAGTATACGAGATGCATTACTGATTGCTTGACTCTTTGGCACTGTGTGCAACGTTTGCATTGCTAATACTTCTTCAAGATCACTTTCTCTAAAATTGATAACATTTTTCATCATAAAAATAAATATTAAATAATTCAACAAAAAAATTTTGGGTTCGGGTAAATATAGGAATGACCTGTCCCCGCAGCTATTGGTGTCTTGTACCTTTTTTATGCAAATTATTACTAACATTTATTTATAACTAAAATACAAGTAGAAATTAAACTGTGTTAATCCTTTTTATTACTTGTAAACAAATGCAACTTTCGGCATAAAAATTGGAGATAAATGAATTAGTTCGTTTGTAGTACCTTACATAAAAAATATGATTCATTATGTCAAATAATAGTGACTGCTTTAAAAATAAATTAATGGCAGAAATAAACAATTTAGCCTACACGGTATTCCTTTGTGGAGAATGTTCATTTTTTTGTTTAATAAAACAATACTTTGAAACTCACCTGGCATATTCAAGAAATTCTGTAAATAACTCGGTAGGTAGTTGATTGGGACTGTCTAAAACCGTACAGTAAAGTTCAGTTTCTCTGTTGTATAAATGTAGAAAATCGTTTAACTGTTTGGCTACAATAGCTGCCTTATCTTTCATCAGGAGACTGGCTTGTGGCATCTAATTTGAAATAAATTTATTTTATTGTAATGGAAACAACTGTGAATTACACTTACTTTAATACAGAATGGCAATCTTACGTAACTTGATGCCCTTTGTAAAAATCGAAATACAATTTCTATGTGCCCCTCTTGATTGGGAGAAGAAGATAGTCTTCTTAGTATTCGTACAAGGTACTGACTGAACATTTTCCGGGCTTCGATTTGCCTTTAATTAGATGTATAATTAGCGCAGTGGTTAATTATGAATATGTGCACTGAAAAAACTTACGATAATTTTTTGCCACTTTTCATAAGCTCGAAAACTTGCTTCTTTATTTCTTCCGACTGAGTCTCCTTCAGTGGTAGTGGTAATTTTTCATCTTGGTTTAACGAAGATTTATATCCTTCTCTTAGCTGCCTTTCATACCTATCTTGACGGTTTGAGATAGTCACTGTAAGAAAAAAAAGCTTTCTGTTTTAACTTACAATACAGAGACATTTTAATAAATTTCTTGTATTTTTTATATTTTTGCGGAGTTTTTCTTTAAGATTATTTTAACAAACATTTTTTCCTTAATTACATCTATTCAACCCGTTCGTTGCCTCTTAAACACATCACATTTTAATATAAATATATTTAGAATGACTATTTAAGAATAAGACACTTAAAGAAATGACATGAAGAAGTAACTGTCCAGCGTATAATAAGCATATGCATTTGTTATTTAGAATTCCAATCCGTTCTTGCCATTTTCATTATCCATTGAATCGAAATAACTTTTTATAGCCAAGTAGCAACGATCCAGTTCGTCATCAGATTTACGACTGTTTTTCAGTTTTCTTTTTCGCTTTATATTATTTAGACCTATCGATTTAAAGAAATCCTTGGATGTTACGGAAACATTTTCTACCACTTTTGAATCTCCCGAATCCTTGTTTTTAAAAGGTTTTCTTTGTTCTGTTCTTCGTTTTGGAAGACCTACGACAATTAAAAAACTTGCTGCCATCGCAACACTAAGTCATTTTTCTCCCTATTATCGTCTGAAATGTTTTCTTCTCTCTACGCATACTTATTTTGATTTTAATGTGTATAATAAAATTGTTAATATGTAGATAACAGCTGATTACTTGAAGCTTGTTCTAAATATTCGGCATATTTTGTAGTTTATTTAGAATAGTTGCTTTATTTAATAACAAAATACAGCACAGAAAACTGCAGTCCTATAGACAGACGGTAGTAATGAAAAATTGTGGGAATATTACTGTTAAAGCGTTTTTTTAATAATGTAAGAAGTATCAGCACATCTAGTGGAGTAAAGAAGTTAAAGAAAAGTGGAGGTAATATAGGTATCATAAAGAAAAAAAGTACTTACTTTTCGGTTCTTTGGATCTGTCCATGCTACTTTTTCTGTCAGTCAATCGGTTTATCTCCTTATCGTGTAATTTAGTCGTTAAAGGAACGCCAGGAAATAGATGTTGAAAGAGAAGCAAATTGTAATTATGAGGCACGACCAGACCATAAGTACCGGTAGGTAAGCCGTTGACTGGCACTCCCGATATCGTGTCCAGAAAACAGGAATACTTTGCCCAACTGTCGATTGTCGGAAAGATTCGAACGAAACCCCCACGTCTCTCAAACTGAGCTCTCGCCGATTTAATAATGCGCGACTCTTCCGGAGTCAAAGACAAACAATTGGAAGAATGTCGACTGCTCTGGCTGGACGATGAGGGCTTTGAACTCAAACCATCCGCCGAATGGACTCTTCGACAACTCGCAAATTTCATTCTGTACACTTGATTGTGTCTTACATGCTCTAGGAAATGAAAAGTTAATTGTTCTTTGATATAAAATCATTTTCATGTGTCCAATGACATATTACAAAGATGAAAATAAATACTTACTGTTTGAAGTATTTGATGTAGTTGATGGAGATCTAAGAACAGGATCAACTGCAGGAATACCAACTAAAGTTAAAAGATCTGCCAACATAGCAGATTTCAGGCGAACATCTAAGGGACTATCACAGCCCAACGAGGGGGACAAATTGACTTCGAGAAGCCATGGTTTAAGACCTTCGTCTATTAAAATGTCAAAGCCGAATAGTTCGAAACAACAAGCCGGGTTAGGAACAAACATTTGACTAGCGGAAACGATAGAACTGGCTGATGCCAGAACTGCTTTTATCACCATATCTTCAATTTGCGACATCAGATTTGACGTATTTTTACCCTCCGTTTTTAGATGTCGAAGTAATGCACTTAAAGTCCATTTGTGGCCAACATTTTCTGCATTTGGATCATCGGCCCTTAAAAGGGATAAGTGTCAGGATATAGAATAATTCAAAGAGTTGGTGAACTTTGCTTACTTAACATAATCACTGTGGTATTTATTAATACTATAGTTGCAAAGATGCATGCAAGGATTCCAGAGGGATTTGGGGTTTGGATCATATTTTACAGTCGCAAATCTCACTAATCCTTCTTCATAGATATAAATAAGTAACGGATCGTAAGATGTAACAGCTACATATAATCTAAGATCACATTTGTGGCCTCTTATCAGTAGAGGTTTATTAACATATTTGGCCACCACAACAGGTTCATCCAAAGGCACTTGGTTAGGACTTTCAACAATAAATATACCTGAAATACCATATTTTAGTATTCTTATTATTAATTTAATTTCAAGATTGTCTTTTAAATAAATTTAATTTATATTAACAAGGTCGTGAAATAATTAATATTAAAAACAAGCAAGGTAACTGAAAACCTCGTCCTCTGCTGGAAGCAACAGGCTTAACGATCCAAGGACCTTTAACTCTATAATGGGCTAAACATAAATCACGAAACTCGCCAGGCATTACGAACGTTTGAGGAATAAAGTTAAAATTCTTTAATCCTCTAATATGCTGCATTTTCTCAATGTTCTTATACAAACGATCTTTTCGAGTTAATTCATATGATCTGGGAAAATGATTGACACGTTGATGTGCTGTTAACGATCTCAAAAGACCTAAAATGATAATAAAATTACAACATATTAATTAACCTAGGTGATTAAAATTTCTCATTTATTAACAATTTTTAAAACTAACGAAAAAAATTAACGCAATTATAAAGTTAAGTAATGTGCCAAATTCAGTGAATCATTAATAGAATTAGATGAATGAAGTAAGATTAAAAAAAAATAGGTGTTACTATTCACCTGGGCGAGGGTGTGAACCTGTCCACAAAAGGTTGAAATCACAAGAATTATTGGTTATTTCGGAGACACCATGAGCATTTAGTAGTTTAGATAATAGTTTTGTTTCTGCTTGTGATACTTTGTAAGTTATATGTAGTTTGTAAGCTGGCATACGTTGAATTGATAAAGGGGAAGAATTAGCTAAAGCAGAACTTCTAAATACCAATAAGGCACCTTTAGCGCCCAAAGGACCTCCAATTAACCATTGCTCATCTTCTTCTGCACCATTTTTTCTAGCATTTTATATAAAAAGTATGAATTTATAGCAACGAATTATGTAACACTTAAAGATTTTAATCTAATCTACAATGTAATAAGATCATATTGGGAAATTACAGACCAATTTACTAATAGTTGTGATAGTAGAAAGTCAATTCTATTTGATTAATGACATTTTATGTTAACAGAAGAAACTAATCAAATTGTAGGTCAATACTTTAACTATTAATAAAAGAATTGTAGATAAAGTAATTATAACAAACATTTACTCTAATATTAAATAAGTATCTGGTGGGTTATAGTGTTTAGTGTTGGAGTTTAACAGCTGATATAAAAATGAGTACTATATTAAGCAGTTATAACAGTTGTGTTGTGACCAATAACTACGAACGTACTTTGAAAAACAATAATGCTTAAGTGTTAAATCTCCAACCTTCCAATAGTCAGAATCTTGATTAAAAGGGGAGTCAGGGGAGATATCTTTGATGGGTTTATCCAATAATCTAAATTGGTATTACAAGTGAAAATTATACATTTTTTAGTAACTCAAAACATAAAGCTGATATGTATCATACAATTGTTAGTTGGCAAGTCTTTTTTAATAAGTAGTGCAGTAACCAAATTAGGATTGAACAGTAAATATCAATGAGACTTACTCGTTGATAATTTCAATTGAGTCAACAGAAACCGTAGAGTCTGATTTTTTTGCCTCAGGAGTTGAAGATTCCTCATTATTCTTTTCCATCTTTACAAAATTAATGTGATACACGATACCTAAAATTTAATTTTTAAATCAGGTTGACAAATGTTTCCAAAAATGGTTACAGATTTTTTGTTCTTACCATAATAACACACCCAACCTATTACTTTCTAAATGTTATTTGAAAGTAAGAAAATAAAAGTTTTTAACCATTCATAATTTTTAGTTATTTAAAGGTGTTCTATATCTTACTTTAACTGAAATTTTGACATTACTTCAAAATTAGTGGTGTAAAATTGCCAATCTTTATTTATGTGTTTGCAGTAGTATCACTAGTGACGATGACAACGTCCCTGTTGAATCATACGTGTGTGTTCATTGGCACCACAGTTGAATTATATCGCTTATAGATAATGACAGTGAGAATTTAAAGAGAATGAAGAGTAAATAAAATAAACATTTTTATAAAGTACTTATGCTTTTTCCCCTTTTTAAGTAATTATGAAACAATTATTTGATATAAATGTTGCAGGACCGTGACCATAGCCGTAGCTGTAGAGTTCGACTGACTGTATTATAGCCACGACATTTTACATAACATTAAGTACATAACCTTAAATATTCTGGCATAACCTTTGCATTTAAAAAATGTTTTTAAAAATTAACTGTAAAAGACAGTAATATAATAATGACCTTATTTAATTTTCGTTGGTTACGAAGATTTATTAGACGTCATACAAGACCAATTGCAGAAACTGACGCTGAATATTGGAAGAGGGTATTTTCATTTTCATATATGTTTTTGGCTTGGAATGCTTTCGGAGTCGTGTGTTTTGCTGCATATAACGGAAAACTTGATTGGGCGAAGTATCATGGTGTCAAAACAGACGAAGAATTGCATTTGTCTTCAGGTACGATTTAATTTTTATAAGACATAGACGTACATTAAAACTACGTAGAGGCTATGCAATCATGTGTGAATCAATTGTAGGTCAATACTTTTTCAAAATATTAAATTAAAGTTTGCGCTGGTTTGCTTTCTTACTGAAAGAAAAATAAAGGGGTAAAGCCAGACAGTAATAATAAGCAAGTGTTTATCAATACAAATTTTCATTAATCTATTTTCATTAACTGTTATCTGTCTCATTGATGTGGGAAAAATATGTTTGTGTTTACGTAATTCATCTGTTTTAATTAATGAACTGTATTCCTTTTATACTACAAAAGCATTAAAAACAAGAAAGTTTAGCAGTGGTACTAACTAGTAATATAACATGTATGTTTGATGTCCAATTAATAGAATAATTCAGTCAGTTTATTTTTCTATGATTTGAATTATATTTGAAGTGTTTCAAATCTCTTTAAAGAAAAGCACAGCAACATGTTTCTTTCAACTGCTAAGAAATAGTAATCTTTTTGTGTAATTGCTTATTTACTTTAAAAACTTTGAGATGTATTGTAAGTAAAACAAATTTAGTAAAATAATTTTATTTCTTATTATCTACAGCACAGCAGTTTTCAAGGGCACTGGGCATTAAAAATTCAAAAGTCATTAAAGTATCTGGTTTAGATGTAAGCAGCTATGAAATACATAACAAAACTGATGAAACTGGCACTGACAAAACAGAAACTGATTGAATTCATAAATTAATTGGTAATTAATTAATTCGTCAGTTAAATCTATTTAAATACTTAAGATCACAACTACTGCAAACAATAGAAAGCAGGATATTTAGCACTAAAAGTAGGAATAAATAAGTTTGTATCAGTGGCGAAGCATGTTTTGAGTACTTTTTCGATTTCTGAATTTCTCCATTTCTACCAGCAAAGCTGACCTGCAATATAAATGTTTTTTAAATCAAAGTAGTGTCGTTATGTATGTATTATTTCTTGTTAGAGTAAAGTTGTTTCCTATTACCTATATGATTCATAACGCATCACAATCTTTTGCAATTCTTGCTTATAAAGTCTTGTTAGCATGGCATTGTAACAGTCAAGCTCATTGAGACGAAACATATCCCATCTTAACTTATGATCCAGCTCTATACTTGCTAAAAATTAAATAAATAACCATAATTAGAGATTCTTGCATTTTTCAAAAATAGGTAATTTAAAAAGAGGTTGAAAAATATTTGTCTTGTTTCACACTTTATAGTATCCATTTATTCCCTCATTGTAATGTTTAAAAATCAGAAGTAGAGAAAGGATGTAACTAATTTTATTTAATTTTTTCTGGAATAAATGATTAAACTATTCAAAGCATTTAATAAATAATTAAGCCGAATTAAGTATAAATTGTAGTGGCATAGTAGTTGTTTCATAACTATATCTTTTACTCAATTCTTTACTAGTTCCTTTACTAACCTTTGAAATAAACTATTAGCCAATGGGGGATTTCCTCTAGCAAGTATGGATTGGCTGGAACAAGAACGCTGTGAGGCTGATAATGAGTGTGTCTTGGCGGGTTCAAATATCTCACTTCTGATTGGTAATTATAACAAGGTACCAGACAAGGGTGTTCATATTGAGCTTGACGAGTTATATGACTATAAAAGTAAAAACGTTAAAATTCACATATACAGGGATTAATTAATATGTTATGTTTACTAACTTTACATAGTACACCCCATAAATTGGTGACTGTATACATTGCCAGCCAGTTGGCAAACCCTCTCTCTCCAGTGGGTGAGACCAATGAGTCGTCTTTGTATTGTGATCTATGTAATACTTTCGACCTCTTAATGTATAGTCCACCGACCATCCAAGAGGCAGTGGCAGTTCTTCAGATTGCTCTAACAAAAAGTAAGTGGAAACATGTACATATGTATATGTATGCATTTTTGCAACTTTAACTTTATTTCTGATTTAAAGTAGAAATAAATTTAAAATAGTATATTCCTCAAGGTTTGGAAGAGTTAAAATTAAAAAGTTAAAGGTAAAATAATTTTTTTTTCTTCATTTTTTTTTCAACATCCTATTTACGAAGAAACTAAATGTAAGTAAATATTAAAAAAGAAAAAAATAAAATACGTATCCTATTAAATTGTAAAATTAATTAATTCATTAAGCTAATTAATTAATTAATTAATTAATGTTCCACTTGAAGAAGTGTGTACTGAAATAATTATTGTCAATACCTTGCAATTGAAAATAGTTTGTGTTTAGTTAATTAGTATGGAGTTGAAAGGGTTAAAAACTTCATTTATTCAATATTTCTAATTCACAACTCTTTAATTCATTGTGTGGTACTTCCAGTTCCACTTTAACTAGTAGGATTTCAAAGTAATACTTACTAGTTACAAATGGAAAGTTATACTTTTAAAAATTAATGAGACTAATTCTAAAGCATATAAAACAGTAAAAATAATTACTGATGTTCTTTTACCTTGACTATTCTCAGATCTATCAAAAGTTTGTCTTAATTGATGAGCCAAAAGCTCTCCATATGTCATTCCATCAGAATGAGATCGATATCTTTCTGCATTTAAATTGCTATAAATAGGTGAAGTTAACTGGTTTCTGCTTGTCTCTATGGCATACTGATTGTGAGATCTTCCCATGTTAACAGTCTCAATTGTATTTTGATATATTGGCGAATGATTTTGATTGTAATTCATATCTTTATAGCCAGCTGCAGTATTGGAATTTGCTTCTTTTATTGGATATATCTGATCTATTTCCACATAGTTTGCATTGCTCTGTGTTTTGTTACAAATAAAATTAATGTAACACTTTCCAACATGAATTAAGCATTACTTACAGATGAGTTATCAAATATGTAGGAAGAATTTATGTAATGATTTGGATATGTATAAGATTGTGGAATATTATGATTCACACCATTATGTGTAGAAGTAGATGATTCGTTAGTTGTTAATCCTACTGATAGATTTGCAAATCTAAAAGGCATAAAATCATTAGATTTAAGTCCATTTGTTTATGCTACTGTTATACCGTGTTGCTAAGTCAGGTACAGATGAACTGGGAGTGTACTTTCCTTCATGTGCCCCTAATCCGACATCACTGACAGTAGTTTTTTGATTTCCAAATTTCTGAATAGTATTTGGTTGGCCATTGTTCCCAGAAGAACTTTGTGTAGCTGGGGTTGATAATCTACGTTTTGGTTCTGTAGTCCAAACGTTGATAACTAAAATAATAAATTTTAAGTCGAGAGTTACAAAAAATAAGACAGTAAACGTACTCGGTATTCCAGGTGGGACATCCTTTTTAACATACTTTCCTTCGACGCCTTCCTTTATTGTTCTCAGATCTTTGTTCTTTCTAGATAACATGTTCACAATTTAATGGATGCACATTATATACCACCACCACGTTTATCAATTATAAATTAAATATATCTTTTTTAATTCAATTTTAATAACTTTCAGTTCCTTCATCTAAAAGCTAGAATAGAAACTCCGACATCCGATGTAAATATAACCTATACATATACAACTTGACAAGATTCCTTCTGTAGGATTAAAAAATTACGATTCATTTGTACATTTTGATTAAATAATTACGTATGTAAACTTAAAGTGCGTAAAAATTACAAAATTATTCATTTATATAAAAAATAAATATTTAGCGCACTCTTCCATCCAATTGATAGGTGGCGCTATGAAATTAGATTAATCGTGAAACTGTCACATTATAACAATCGTATTTACGTTGATGGTTAAAACTTTTCTAAATTGATTTGTTTGAACATATTTGTTTAATTAAAATTGAATTTTGTTAGTAATTTTAATAACTAGGAGTAATTTAGGTGGATAGGGTGGCTATAAGGGGCGAGGTGTTGGTCACAGAGGGTTAGAGGGGCTCTTTCTCTCTAATCTTTATTGAAATAGTAAGATATGACAGTTTTTGTATAATGTGATGTTTTTTATTGTATTTTCGTTTAAATTTTATAGATTTTTCATGTCTTTATCTTACAGGTGTTTTATTTTTTAACTTTTATAAGTAGTTAGAACGTGTTATTTCTTAAATATTTTGTTTGTATTGTTATTTGATATACGTATCTGTTGGTCTTCATACGTTGTTTTTATTATAATTGTAATTAATTTGCAAAGCAAATTTTATTTTATGTAATTTTGTGTAATCAGTCATAAAAAAAGATGTAAAGAAATTATACAGCTTCTGTACAATAATTATTCTGTTTTTTATCTTAATTCCACCTACCCCTTTGAAAATTTTACTTAATAACAAATTGATATTTAATTTAAATATTTTCTGTTAAAACTTTTCGATTAT